TGAACCCTAAGCCCTAAACTTTAAACCCTAAACCCTAAACCCAGGAGGTCCAAGCTGCAATCTCGGAAGGGCTTGGGGGCCCAGGCAAGCTCGCGGAAAGCCCCGAGCTCGTTAAATCCGAGAAGCCCCGCCACCATATGCCGTCAACCCAACGTGAAACCTTAGGGTCTAGGGACTATAGGGTTTTGGGTTTAGGGTGTAGGGACTATAGGATGTCGTGTTTAGAGACTATAGGTTTAGGGTTTAGAAGCCCTATATAGCCAAAAGGGAAATTCGGAAGCGCAGCCATCGCTCAAAGGCATCATCGCGCACGTGGACCACGGGAAGAGCACGCTTTGCGATCGGCTCCTGCAATCTTGCGGCGCCTTGGCTTCGAACTTCTCGGGAGATTTACTGTTGGAGCTTTGGCTCAAGTCAGGGAAGGGACTACTTGGAGGATCATGGGACTTAGTAAGTAAGGTTATAAGTACCCTAATTGGGGTTATACTTATAGTTACCTTATTTATAGCCCTAGTTACTAAGTCCCATGATCCTCCAAATAAGGTCCATTGATCAGAGCTGCAGGCTTGGCTTTTAGGATTCGAGGAAGGGAACGGCTTCTGGAGAGGTGGAGGGGTTGGATTCCGGTGGATGCACGGGGCTTGCAGCCGTTGGCCCGGCCTTGCAGCAATTTGCCGGTGCCCCGAAGCATCCCGAAACCCTATCATGCCACATCATTCGAGTAACCCTATATAGTGCGCGCCCTATAGTGACTGACCTCCGAGCTCCAAGCTCTGGTAAACTCTAAACCCTAAACCCTAAACCCTAAACCCCAAACCCTAAACCCTAAACCCTGAACCAAGGCGTGATTCCGGAGAATGCGAGGGAGCAGTTCCTCGACGGTCTCGAGGCCAGGAGTTTAGAGCGTGTCCTGGTGTGCCGTCCTTGAACATAAAGCTTGAACCCTAAACCCTAAACCCTTAACCTGACACCCCGAACCCTAAACCCTAAACCTTAGACCCTAAACCCTAAACCTGACACCCTGGAGCCTGAACCCTAAACAGCGTCCGGCCGGTGTCCGAAATCCTTGCTTGCGTAGAGGTGGAGCGCGAGCGGGGCATCACTGTCAAGGTGCCTGGGTTGAGGGCTTTTTGGGTTTCTAGGGTTAAGATTGTTAAAGCTTTAGGGTTTTTATGGCTTGGGTGGTTTAGTTTAGTGTTCCAGCTTTCGTTTTAGGTTTCAAGCACAACTTTGGTTCACAGCTGATCTTGAAGCGGCTTTGAGAAGAGAACAGAGAGGCACAGACCTGCTCGATGCTGGTCCGGTCGGAGAAGGATGGGTTGCAGTACCTGCTCAACCTGATCCTCGCCCTGAACGGAGGGCCTTCGAAGTTCCGGGTCGAGGTCCTTGGGTGTCGGAACCCCTGATACACCTTGAATGGTCTGCGCCATGCTTATATTTAGAATCTGCGTCGTCTGGTTCGGATATGGATCGAGCTAAATTGGCTGGACAGGGCCGAAGCGTCGACTTTTGTGTTTCCAGCTTGAAGGCCCATGCTATGGGGTAGAAGAGTGGGGGTCCGTGATTTTGGACTGAGTTTGGTAAGGATCCTACCTTGGTCCTGCTGCCTTCCTATTCATTTCTTGGAGTGAGCTCCCAGGATCGACACGCCTGGACATGTGGACTTCTCGTACGAGGCCCGGGTCGAAGGATTCTCTTGCAAGACCCCCTTAAACTTAGGATCTACTTGTTGGATCACCCTAAACCCTAAACCCTAAACCCTAAACCCTAAAGACCCCCGAAGCTGGAGGGGTGGGTGTGAGCTCGAGGGGCTCGGGGCAAGAAGGGGGTGACTGCCAGGACCAGGAAGCTCCCTGTCATGTCATTTGCAGCTTCTCTACTTGGAGGATCATGGGACTTAGTAACTAGGGTTATAGATAAGGTAACTCTAATGAAAACCCCAATTAGGGTACTTATGACCTTACTTACTAAGTCCCTAAACCCTAAACCCTAAACCCTAAACCCTAAACCCTTACTTACTACGTCCCATGATCCTCCAAGTAAGCGACTGCCATCCGCTCCTTAGGGCCGGGATGCCTCTGCCCTGTGAGGTGTCCCGGTCGCTGCACGCGTGTCAGGGGGCCGTGCTGCTCTGCGACGCCGTGCAAGGCCCGGCTGGAGACTTGAAGGTCCAAGCCCAAGCCTAAACCCTAAACCCTAAACCCTAAACCCTAAACCCTAAACCCTAAACCCTAAACCCTAAACCCTAAACCCTAAACCCGGAGCCTTTGGGAGGCATCCAGGCCCAGACCGTCTCGACTTTCCACCAGGCAGGAAGCCGTTGGGTTGAAGTTCCGGTCGGCTGCGGAATCATTTTCTGATATATAAATATATAGGTTTAGGGTTAAGGGTTTCGGGTTTAGGGTTTAGGGTTTAGGTTTTTTTTTGTGTGTGTGTATATATATATATATATATATTAAGGTACAGCTTGCCATGCCTCATGTTGTCAAGGCCGCATGTACACAAGAAGCAGACGAAACAGAACGCAAGAACACAGCTCCCTTCTACCTTGCGCTTAAGAATCCTTAAGCCCAGAGAGCCCAATACCCCTTAAACAAGGAATATACCTTAAATCGTAATATTACGGCGCCTATAATTTAAGGTATATTCCTTTTTTAAGGGGTAAGTTGGGCTCTCTGGGAACATTCACCCCGAGATCCGAAACCCAACCCAAGACCCCCCAAAAGCCTCCCCTGCCTGGAGGATCATGGGACTTAGTAACGAGGGTAAAAAATAAGGTAACCATAATTGTAAACCCAATTAGGGTACCTTTAACTTTACTGACTAAACCCTAAACCCTAAACCCTACACCCAAACCCTAAACCCTACACCCTAAACCCTAAACCCTAACCCTTACTTACTACGTCCCATGATCCTCCAAGCGCCTCCTGCAAGGCCTTCGAAGCAGACCTGGAGGTGCTCTGTGCCCTCAGCAAGGCTCCAAGCTTCAATGTTTAGGGTTTAGGGTTTAGGATTTAGGGTTTAGGGTTTAGGGTTTCGGATTTAGGGTTTAGGGTTTAGGGTTTAGGATTTAGGGTTTAGGGTTTAGGGTTTCGGGAAGACGAAAACTTTGTTGTTCGGGGCTTGGAGTTTTTGTTTCGAGATTGCAGCTTTGCCTTGAGCTTGAGCGTTGCTTTCGGGTTTCGGGCACTTGCAGGATGATGGGACTTAGTAACTAGGGTTATAAATAAGGTAACTATAATTATAGCCACAGTTAGGGTACTTATAACCTTACTTACTAAGTCCCATGATCCTCCAAGCAGGGGTGTTGGCCAAACCGCACGTGCTTGTTTGCGAACATTGTGGTGCTCTAGACAAGTTGTCTCAAGTCCTCCTACGGTCCCCCATACACTTGCAAGCCTACAGTCTAGAATAGGTTGTATAACCAACCCGACAGCTACAGCGCACTATGCCGCCCAAAGCTCTTTCTGGAGTTGCTCGGGTCCATCTAGTAAGCTCATTGGCCTGCTGCCGCCTTGCAAAATTGTTTGTTTAAGCGCTGTCGTAAAGCATCCCATGGAAGTCCCGCTCAAGTCATGGAGGCTTGGTTGATCAGAAACCTTACGAATGCCCTACTAAGGTTACAAAAGCTCCCAGAAACGATGTAAGCCCGGTTAAGAAAGCCTATAGATCCTGCAGTCCGCCAAGCGCAAATGAGGCTTGTATACTCAATCCCCAAAGCACCTGCAAAATGCGTTAGGACCGTATCGGCAAGTCCAATTACCGCTGTCCAAAGTCTCAAATCTTAAGTGATCCTCTTTGTTTCTTCACTTTCTGCAGGTGGACCTGGACCACGCGCAGAAGGAGGAGGTCAAACGACCCCTGGCTTAGATTTCAGAGTCGTGGGTTGCGCAGGTGGTGCGCTCACGAAGCTATGAAACTCCATCCCGGCCACAAAACCTGCTTCATTGTTTTCTGTTCAGTCCCTAAGCAAAGAACCCTGAATTTTGTTTGAGGTCTTCGTATCGGTACTGAGCTCGTCTAGGAGCACTTTCACCTGAAAGTCTGTGAGCTGAGGGCAGATGTCCGTCCTGACGGGAGTCTCCACGGACGAAGTTCTGGAGGCTCCTGGGTGCTTGCAAGCAGGGTTCGATGCTTGGGATCACGCAACTCCGCAAGCCTGAAAACCGACACCCGACAAGTTTATGCCCTGTGCGAGCTTCATGTTGTTCAGGTCTTGTCTGGAGCCATGGCCTATCTGCTTGTAAGGCTGTATGAGAGTTCCAGAAAATGCAGGGCCCAACTTTTCCCCTCCGGAGTAGGATGGTGAATGCAAGGACCCCGAAAATACAAGGGACGGTTGTCTTCCCAAACGCTCACAAAAGCCGCCCAGGTCTGTAACACCTTTCAAAAGGCCCCAAAAGCCTAAACCCTAAACCCTAAACCCTAAACCCCCAAACCCCTAAACCCCTAAACCCTAAACCCTAAACCCTAAACCCCAAAAGCCTGTCAGGTGTCCGGCAAGACAGGACAAGGTGTTCCGAGTTTGCTGGAGGCCGGGCTCTTGCAGCCGGAGCTTTGGGTTTAGGGTTCAGGGTTTAGGGTTTAGGGTTTAGGGTTTAGGGTTTAGGGTTTAGGGTTTTAAGTGAAGGAGTTTCCTTCTTGGAGGATCATGGGACGTAGTAGTTAGGGTCATAAATAAGGTAACTACAATTATAGCCCCAATTAGGGTACTTAGAACCTTACTTTCTTAAGCCCCATGATCATCCAAGTTGACGTGATAGCGCGTTAGCGTTTAGGGTTCAGGGGTAGCTGGTTCGGAGGATTCGGGTTTGTGGTCTCAACCACAAACCTCGAAGTGCCTTGTGTCAAAGCTTGTGAAAGTTGACGGAAGGCCCCAGCAGAAAATAGGGCTCGGCATAAAAAAGGGGCCTTAGAAATTAGAATGGGGTTTGGGGTATATTCGACTATATTTATACTAACCCCAAAACCCTATTCTAATTCTTAAGGCCCCTACATTAGTCATCGGCGCTGTTGGGAGGCCATCATCCACAAGGTGCCTCCTCCCAGAGGCCGGAGGAGGAGGGTAGGACTTGTCTTTCCGAAGTTAGAAATTTCTGGCTCCGGGGGTTTAGGACCAGCCGGAGTTTTGAACTCGAGAGGGGCCGGTCTGAATGCCAAAAGCCTGGAAGAGGTGTCATACCCCTCTTGTGGGTTCTGTGACTTTGTCCATAGCGATGGGGTATGTCGAAAGGGCATGTCGAAGGTTCTGGGCCACCATGCTGTGCTCAAACTCCCAGCAGGAAAACCACGGCAGTCACTCGGCCCCAAACCCAAAACCTGCACCATGTAATCCTGGACTCGCAACCCGTAGTGACGGCCCTATAATTGTGACATAAGCCTACCGTGAAACCTCGCTCGGTCCTTCGGCGGTCCAGGCAAAGCGCAGGCGCCTTTCAAAGCTTTGCTCTTCGATGCGTACTACGACAGCTTCTTGGACTTCCAGAATTCTAAATGTCACACTGACCCTAAACCCTAAACCCTAAACCGCTTTGATGGATTAGTTAGCTAAATAGGACTTCGGGTTCGGGGCTACGAAAGGCTCACTTAGTCCACCCTGCTTCCCAAAGTGCTTCTATCTTCGGGCCCGTCGGGCAATCAACACATGCCTTCAGCCACTTTTGGGGCACCTTTGCAAGACACATACATTGGACGAACCCGAAGCCCCAATGGAAATATTGAATCCTCTAGGCTTGTGGGAAACGCTTGAAGTCCCGGGGCGACCTTACCGTGTCAAGCGTCGTGGTCGTCCTGGTCGTCCTGGTTGTGGTTATAGTCACACAGTCGTGGTCATCGTGGCCGTCCTCGTGGTCGTCGTTTGTTGCCTTCGTCGTGGTAGTGTTTGAGCGTGCATCTTTGAGTTGCTATTCTTGTTGATGCCCTGTTTCTCCCGCACGCGCTTCTTCATGTTGTCTGTTTGGCTACGTACGATCATTAATTTGCTGTTGTGATGGTGATGATGCTGCTATTGCTGCTATTGTCTCTTCTTGCCTTGCCACACTTCGTATGAGCAGCAATTGCAGCAGCACGTGTGTTCGTCATCGTCCTGATCCTCTGCATGATCCTCATCTCCGCATCACCCTCTCCTTGGTCACCATCATCACCATCATCACTGCGTCGTCACCGTCATCATCACCCTCATCATCAAAGATGTACTCCAGCATGTCGTCCATCATGCTGAGCATCAGCACCGTCATGCTTATCATCATCAGCACGTGTGTGATGCTGTGGCACCGGTTCATGCATCAACAGTCCGTGCATGCCCTGGTTGGTGACTCAAGAGCTCGGCCTGCCAGATGTATCAGTGGCCCTCCTCGGCCCTAAACTCTAAGCCTTAAGCCCCTACACCCTACACTCAAAGCCCTAAACCCTGAGCCCAAAAAGCCTTCAACCCAAAGACCAAGTCTTCTCCTTGCTGCAATCCCCGAAGCCGGACCAACCCTTAGGTCGGCGCGGCATGGTGCTGCTGATCGCCATCCAAGATGGGGAGCTGAAGAAAGGCAGCAGGATCCACTGCTCCTTGGGCTGCAGGGGATCGCTGGATCGATGTCTAGGGGTTATGTAGGATGAGGGTTTGGGGGTTCGGGTTTCCACTGTTGCGGGGTTTCAGGACTCCGGGCTTCGACAACCCTAAAGCCAAATTGAAGCAGGAAAAGCCTAAGTCAAAAGCTCCAAGCACCCAAAGACTAAAAACCGCTAAACGCTCAACCCCCAGCCCTAGCCCCTGAACCCTGAACCCTGAACCCTAAACCCTAAACCCTAAACCCTAAACCCTAGACGGCCCTAAACCCTAAACCCCCTAAGCCCTAAACCTTAAACCCCTAAGCCCCTGAACTCTTGACGCCTAAACTGCCGCTTCAGCTGATGATGCGAGGCTCCTACAGCGGGAGGAACCACGTCGCCATGGCATCTTGGTCGAGTCTATAGGGTTTTATGGAGTCTTATGGAGCTCACAGGGGTTTGTTTGATAGGACGATAGGATTTGTTGAGGCTTTACAAGGGGTCATGGCGATTCTGTGAGGGTCTTGGGTAAGGATAGGGGTTCGGGTTCAGGGTGTAACTATTAAGTCAGGAAGGCTGGCCGCGACGGAACACTTTATTCAGTCCTAAGCGGATCCTTATCGCTTTTTCTCTAAGCTCCCAAAACCTAAAACCGGCCAGCCAGAAGCTGAGGATATTGGCTAAACCCTAAACCCGAAACCCGAAACCCTAAACCCTAAACCCTAAACCCGAAACCCTAAACCCTAAACCCTAAGCCGGCCAGCCAGAAGCTGAGGATATTGGCCTCCTCTACCCCGACCTCTGCTCGGTGGAGAACCTGCGCAGCGGCCAGATCGGCTTCATCGTCGTGGGTGCGAAGGCGCCGCTGACACCCCCGAGCTGAGCCTAGAGACTCCAATATCCCTTAATTAAGGAATATGCCTTAAAGTATAGTAGGATCCCAAATATGATTTAAGGTATATTCCTTAATTAAGGGATATTGGAGTCTCTGGGAGTTGAAGCCCCGAGCACTAAACCGCAAAGCGCAAACCCTCCCAAACCGCCCAAGATCTGGGTGGTTGTCAAAATTATGGTCCCTTTTTTGGTCCTTATTATAATACGGCACCTATTATTTAGGGTGCCCCAAAAGGGACCATAATTTTGACAACTACCCATCTGGGCCTGTAGTCCTACCAAGCCTAGGGTGAGGATTTGTTGTGCGCCTGGTGTTCAGGATTAGGGGGGCTACCGTATGTCGGGAGAGGGAGGGAACGGTGCCCGAGAGGACATTCGCAGCTTTCGCGTGGGCGAGACGGTGTGGCAGGAAGGCATGGCCCGAGTCATTCGGGTCGAGTTTCCGGGCAGGGCAGTCAGGGTTCCGTAGGGCTGATCAGAAGTTTGCAGGCTACCGGGTTTGGTGCTTCGTTCAGGAATGCAGTAGACTCTGTCTGAGTCTCCTTGGAAAGGTGGTGAGAAGTCCGGGGAGCCCTTCCCTGGATTCAAGCCTGCTCATCCTATGGTCTATGCCGGGATCTTCCCGGAGGACCCGACGTCTCTGTGCGGGCTGCGTCTGAGCACATGTGGTTGGTGTTGCGACTTACGGGTGAGCTTGTTTCTTCTTTGAGTTGTTGGCTTCTAGTTGGTGTCGAAGTGGGATTTCAGCTTGTCTTTGCCCATGACACCTGGGGCTACTGCTCCGGTTGCAACGGGTGATTCTCCCCTTCACTACCGCTACCAGCACTACTACTCGGCACTTAGTCCATGCATGTATGCAGTCAAGACGTCTACGTTTACCCTGATTGTTCTTCTTGTCTTCACAAGTCGTGTTGCTGTCGCTGCAAGATCTCCCGTCAGCCAGGCCGTCAGCGATGGCGAGAAGCTGGAGACGGCGATGCAGCGTCTACTCCTCACCGATGCCTCCGTGGAGGTCCTGCAGCCCAAAACCTTAAAGATGAAACCGCCCAAGGCCGTGAGCCTTCAATGCTGAGCACCAGACAGTAACGGAATATGAAAGGGTCCAACCCTAAACCCTAAACCCCTAAACCCCTAAACCCTAAACCCCTAAACCAAAAGCCCCTAAACTCTAAACCCTACACCCTAAAGCATAGAATTCAGCCTTTCCCACTCTTCGGATCATGGCTGCTCCGGGCCTTAGGGCCTTAGGGTTTCGGGTCGGCAAAAAAAGCGCGTCGGCCTTGGGAGGCGGCGCTTTCCGGCTGGGTCCTACTTGGAGGATCACGGGACTTAGTAAGTAAGGTTACAAGTGCCCTAATTGGGGTTATAGTTATAGTTACCTTATTTATAACCCTGGTTACTAAGTCCCATGATCCTCCAAGTACAAGGTTTAGCACTTTTGTGATTCTAGGGTTTCGCGTTTAGGGTTGGGAGTTTAGGGTTTAGGTTTTTGTCGGCAGTTCAGGGCATTTTTCCTCTTTTGGTTTGGGGCACACGAGGTTGAGGGATTGGGGATTCGGGAGTAAGGCTTCTGCGCTCTCTCGTGAAGCCCGAAAGCCCCGAGAGCCCAAGCCCAAATCTCTAGAGCCTAAAGCTTTCAAGAGGCTGTTGCCCTGAAAGTCCTAATTACGCTTCAGGCTTCACTACACCTAGGGCCTCAAGAAACCTAACATCTAGGCTCTAAAATTACGAACCTTGCTAAACCCTTGACACCCTAAGCAACTCTAAATCCCTGAGCCTCAAAATCGGACGCAGAGGCACGTCGGGACATCTCCCCGGTCCTCGGCTCCGGGTACAGGCTGGAGCTCGGTGCTCCTGTACATGGGTGGTTGTCAAAATTAGGGTCCCTTTTTTCCCGAAGCCCGATGCACTGAGCCTTCGAATCTTTAACCCTGAGGGATTGGGAGGAAGGTGGCCTAGAGAAGAAGCGGGGCAATCACCGCTTGGTCTTCCACAGCTTAAGCCCAAAACAACCCAAACCGGGGACTTGGCGCACCACAGCTGGACCCAACTCAGGATTGAGGGTTCGGTGAAGAGCGGGCCGAATGTGTCAATAGTTAGCAGTTCCACTTCCCGCGTTGTCCCTATATTTTTATAGTAGTTTAGTAAAATTTGTCGCAAAACCCAATTTTCGTCATTAAGGCCCCTAAACCCTAAACCCTAAACCCTAAACCCTGAACCCTCACCATATTACGCAGGGCGAGCTGAGGCACCAAAAAGTCCCCCCCCCCCCAAGTTGCTCAGTTGCTCAGATGCGGCTTCCTGGGCCTCCTCCACCTGGACGTTTTCCGACAGCGCTTGTCGAGGGAGTATGGCGGCTCGTCCTGTTCTTTTTGGGGTTTACTTGGAGGATCATGGGACTTAGTAAGTAGGGTTATAAATAAGATAACTATAATTATGACCCCAATTGGGGTACTTATAACCTTACTTACTAAGGCCAGACAGGGAGACAGGGGCCTTGAATCCTCACAGGCCCCCCTGCCTCTCAGCCACACGTTCCAAGCCAAAAGACACGAACAAGACGTGGCACTTGAGCCCTTTGGTGCTCCAGGTGTGGATGTCCTGGCAACATCGCCGACGGTTCCCTACCACCTCCTGATGGCCAACGGCAAGCAGGCACCACCAACAAACCGAAAGCCTTTTTGAGCTTTGTAAGTTGGCCCAAGCTTCCGAAGCTATAGGTATCCCTTCGAGAAATTGAGCATATATCAGCCTTGCTCAAAAGTTGAAAGTTCATGCAGACGGCCATGTCCCGAAGATGAGCACTTTCGACGCTCGAGGACGACACCTAGCCACACCGCCAACTGCTAGTCACGCTTGCTTTCGGCTTATCAGGTTTATCTTACGCGCTATCAGCCGCCATCATCGGTGGTGCCGATGCCGATGCCGATTTTGTTCTTGTTGATGATTCTCTTGCTCATGCTGCCGCTGCCGATGACGATGATGCTGCTCTGCTGCTGGTGATATTGCTGATGGTGGTGGTGTGATGATGATGTTGGTGGTGATAATTTGAAACCGGCCATGGCTATGGTGATGATGCTGGTCAACGATCCTGCTCTTGATGATGTTGACGATGTTGCTCATGCTGTTGACGATGGTCTCAGAGACGATGATCAGCTGATCGTGGCAACCTGGCAGGTGGTGGTGGAGCATGCGGGAGATTTCCCGACGCCACCGGCGATGCCGCCGAAGGAGGTTGAGGTGCCTTCGGCTCATGCCTTTGGTTTCAGTACGCATTCACAGAGCTCCCCTTTTCCCAGCTCCTGCGCGTACCCTCTGCGTCCGTGCGAAAGTGCCTCTTTGAGGAGCCTTTGGTGACCGCCACCATTGCTGTGGCCTGAGATTCTCAGGAAGGAAGGCGGGTCGCTTTGTTTCGGACTCCTCGGTTTTTTTTGTGTTGTAGGCTGCATGGTGGATTCCCACGATAACTCCACACTTTTCCATCCTACCATGCACCCTAACTAGGAACAAGGCCGTACACACCCCCAATAGCACAGACATCCCAAAACCCTAAACACCACAACTGAGCTCCCAAAACATTCCAGTCAGGTCTTGCCTCGAGAGCTGACGCCCGGTATCCAGCAGCTCTGCCTCGAGCGTCGTGGAGAGGACCGCAGCAATCCCAAAGCCGCAAGATAAAGATAAAAGGTGGCAGCGATGATGTCGGCTGTATATGCCGATGATCCTAACGATGATCACGCGAACCAGAGCTGCCTCCTCCGCCTCCTCGTCCTCCTCCTCTGCCTCATCCTACGACGACGACCACCACCACCACCACCACCACCACCACCACCACCACCACCACTACTTCTGTTTCTTTCGGCTGTCACGCGGCACCAGTGCGTGGTTTATCTCTTTCAAGAACAGTCACTCGTGTACCTGCTCTTGGCCTCAGGAGCTCTCAGCCCCGGCCTCAGCACTCAGCTCCTGGTGCTGGTCTGCTGTGCGTTGCCGGCGCCCTGAACCGGAAATCTTCATCCCCAACGATCTAGACGCAAGAAGCAGAAACCCAAAGGCCTCAACCCTGAACAGCGAACCCTACACCCGCGGCCGAGTAGGCCCTGCACCCTGAAACCCGCGTCTAGCACCCTAGGTGGAGCCCTTGGACAATGCGGGCGAGCGTATCCTCATGAAGTGGAGGTGGGCCCCAAACCCTAAACCCTAAACCCTAAACCCTAAACCCTAAACCCTAAAAAGCCTAACAAAAACCGTGATTTCCAAGGAAGCTTTGATCATCGCAAGCAGAATTCCAGGAGGAGCCTGAGGTCTGGGCACACTAAGACATAACGTAGCCCCCCTAAATTACTACCAACACTATTTTGGGGGTTCCTTACTATAATTATAGTATAGTGGGCCCCAAAAACCTTATTCTAATCATTTAAGGCCCACCATACTAGCTTCAAAGCCGAGGATGTAATACCTAACCCTAAACCCTAAACCCTCAACCCTAAACCCTAAACCCTAAACCCTAAACCCAAAACCCTAAACCCTAAGCCCTAAGCCCTAAACCCTAAACCCTAAACCCTAAAACCTAGCCGCAGCATCCGCCCTTTATCCTCCGAGCCTCCCGCTGCATCGCAGGCTACCCCTCGCGGAGGCAGGTCTTGCGTTGCAGGGAGACGGTAGGTGCTGATCTGACAGGAACTAGGTTTGTTGTCGTGGTTTAAAGTGCAAAATATGTCCGTAAGTATATATATATATGTGTGTCCCTTTCTCTGTGTATGTATGTACGTACGAATACATGTATGTATGTACATATATATATATATATAGGTATGTATGTATGTATGTATGTATGTATGTATGTATGTATGCATGTATGTATGTATGTGCTAGCAGGGACAACGTGAGAGCTCTGCTTCCAATGCATGCTCTGTTCCAGCACCTGCTCCGCAAGCTGCGAAAGCGATCGCATTTATGGCAGCTACTTCTCTGGTATGTCGGAGCCCTAAACCCTAAACCCTAAACCCCTAAACCCTAAACCCTAAACCCCTAAACCCTAAACCCTCTCTCCAGAACTTTTTCTGCGCTTTTTCTCCAGCCTTGGCCAGCAGGTCATCACGGACTTCTTCGACAAGCTTCAGGCAACGTCTGAACTGTCTCAGACACCTTCCGAACCCATCAAGATTCCATAGACAGTTTTAATGGAGTTCAGGGCCTTAGTAGGTTCTACGTAGTTTTCTGATTGCCTTCCTACGTTTCTCGTAGGGTTTTGTGGGGATTTCGCCTTCCCCGCAGTGGTTTTGCAGGCTCTCAGCCATGGCTTCGCGAGCTTCGACTACCAGCCCGCGGGCTACCAGCCGGTGCCGGCACTCGGCGGTTCGACGTCGTCCTGGGCTCTTGTTCATTTAATGAAGGAACCTAGCTCAAGCTGGCGCAATACTTACAGAAGGCTGATTATTTACTGCACATCCCTATTCCTAAGCTAGGGCTCAGTATGTTTTAGCTGCTTTTCTCCTTCCTGTGGTTTGCGATTTCCCGAGGTGGACCTGGTGAAGGCCGGATGCACCTGCCGCGGTCCGGCCTTGTTCTCTTCCCCAACAAGGATCGCGAAGTTAAAGCTATGTAAATTCGACCAAAACCTCGTTCCGAAGCCTCGTAGAGCCGCCTACGCGGGCTCCTCGTCCTCAGGGCTTTTTGCTACTTACTCTTTCCATCACCATGCTCATGATTCTCTCTTCGACGTTGCCATGCTTGTTTTAACGTCTCGAGCCCAAAAGCACGGGAAGGTTGGCGTCCGGCTGAACAACGAGCACGTGGATGCCCTGAGCTTCTTCGCCTTGCGTGCGAAAGCTCCAGAGGCGAGCTGGGGACACAGATGAGATAGGAGGCGGCAATTCCCTCGGGTGCCTCATGTCTAGTTCTGGTATAGTATAGCCCAGAGCCCTGTTTCGGTTGTTAAGGCTTGTATGTTGATGCATCCAGAAAGCCCAACTTACCCCTTAAAGAAGACTAGTCCTCATATCATAAGCATAATAATAGGCACTGTGTAGTTAGGTTGATTCCTTAGTTAAGGGTATTGCGCTCTCTGCGCAGTCTGGAGATCTCAATGTAGCTTAACATGTGCTACTGTCCTAGCGCAGCTAGCATAGAGATCTATGACTCATGTTGCCGGTTCAAGCGACGTCCCCCAGTGCTGCCGGGACGGCCGCTTGTTGCGAGCTCTTGGTTCTTTGTCACAACCCGCCGTAAGGGTTAAGGTGTGCAAATCGTCTGCGTGGTGGCTTCGGCTCCTGGCAGGAGAGGAAGTCAGTTGAGCGTCTGTTTGTAGCAGGTGTCGCGCAAGTACCTCGAGAAGCTGGAGAAAGTCATCCCGGCGTAGCGCGGCTGTGAGTTTCGGAAGGGGAGCTCTTGCGCACATAGAGCCATATTCTGAGCCAGCCTTCCCGCAGTCCCTCAACCCTACTGTAGCCCCCCAAAGTGAAGGCATACCGTCCGAAGCTCCGATGGCTCGTTAAGCCGTTAAGCCATGCGTCGCTCCGTCAGGCAACTCTTCGATATCGGCATCCAGGCCGTCGTCGGAGGAAAAGTTGTGGCGAAGGCTGGACAATTCTGTTTAGGATGATGGCGCATGTGACCAGCGACATCCCACAACCGTCGGTTCACTGTGTGACTTTGCAGTGTTAGGGGTTGGTTGCCGACTCAACAGGGCGGGTGCTTGGAAATCGCGTGAGATCACCATCAGATCCAATGTCAGCAAACACCTAGTTGTCGTGCTGCACTAGCCAGGTACGCATCAAGCCAATCAGAAAGGACAGAGCTTGAGTGGTGAAGGGTTAGCCTTCTTATTCTCAGGAGAGTCCTGTTGACCCTTGTCAGAGTGTGGGAATTCTGCTTTCTGACCGCGCTTTGACAAATTTTTTTGGGTCTGTCTCCCAGGCGTAGGCGGCTCCCCAAGCTGCACAGGAAAGCATGGAAGCAGGAACAGTGGCCGAATAGTTGCAGTGATAGCAGGAATCACAAAATCTACACTATGGATCGGCGCACCAAATTAAGGGCAGGTGCCTTCCTTCAGAAGCTTCGAGAAAGTGGACTGTAGAAGTAGCACAAACTCTCGGTCCTACAGCCCCAAACCCGAGACAGTAAAACCTGAGCCCCAAAGCGAAAAGCTTCAAGCACCCACATGCTCGGACCAGCCCTCGAAGCCTCACAGTCAGTTTCCATTACCATATCTGAAAACGCTGGGTTAGGGATTTCAGGATGCCGTGCCCAGGATTTGGGGTTTCAGACTTTGGTTCGGGGGGGAGGGGAGGGGTTGAGCATTTCGGGTTTCGTCGAAAGTGCTGAGAACAGTGGTAGCAATAGTTGCCATAAAGAATCAGCCATGGTACTACAAGCAGCATGCAGGAACGCAGAAGCACCATCGCAAGCATGAAACCGTGAAGAAAGAACGGGTACACCGTGCCAGTTGCGACAGCAGCAATGAGAAGCAGGACATCACCAACCCTAGACCTCAAGGGACGAAAGGAGGGACCCTTAAAGGGAACTTTGGGGTTATATCGGGGCTTTATGAGACTATATAAAGGGTATATAAGGGTTATATATATATATATATATATGTATATATAGGGTATTTGGGGTCCCTCCTATTGTCCCTTAACAGACTGGCTTGACCCCCCGGATGCCAGGACGTCGTGGCACAGAAGATCCTCAGCCACGGCCACAGTGGCGACCCCTCGCGCAAGGCGAAGCTCCTGGAGAGGCGGAGAGGGGTTTTGGGGCTAGGGTTTTAGGTTTTAGGTTTTGGGGCTGGGGTTTAGGTTTTAGGGTTTAGGGTTTAGGGTTTAGGGTCTAGGGTTAAGAGCTTAGGGTTTAGGGTTTA